TCTTTCCCTACCCCATGATTTCTGGATAAATCAAATCGTCCTACTCTTGGAGCAGAACATTCGATGGATCAGATTATGCCATTTGCATACTAGCGAGGGTAGTACTGTATTAATAAAGTTATTTTATCAGTGGGTCTTCTGGAACCTCCATGGGGGGTAAAGGGTTAATCAAAGATATAATTATTTATCAATTTAGAAACAGTAGATCTTTTTCTACAAAAACAAGAAAGATATTAAATCAAAGTATTCCTATTTATTACTATTATACATATCAACATGTATAGTCTTGATCACTCTCAATAGATAAACGTATTTCAACAACAAAAACAAGAAAATTCAGTATGTTTAAAGTATATACTATCTCTTTCCTTTAATGTATAAATTTTATTTCATCACAGTATCACATACTTTGTTTTGCAAAGGTTAGTCTTTGATTATAAGTCAACATGTTCTTTTCATTAAAAAACACTTTCAATATATTTTTCGAAATATTGATCTTGCTTTTTTGTGATTTATACTGATTACTTTTCAGTTTAAACTTGTCTTCTAAGCTATAGTATATATAATCGATGTCATTCACAATTCATTTTTCAATTTAAGGTATATATATCAAATGTAAGAGGATTTATCAGTGAAAATTCACAAAATCGACATTTTTCTTCGTTACATCAGGAAGAATTTATTACAGTAGTAGTAGTACTATGTATGAGAAAATAATTAGGAATGTTACTGTATTTTTATTTTCTTTATAATAAAGGATATAGATAAAGAAAATCTTTATATCTAAAAAATAAAGAATTTTTTCCTATCAAAATTTATTCTTTTTTTTATTTTGTTGAAGTAGTTCACATAAAATGACCACATTATATAATTAAATATAATATACAATAGCATTTTTCTCATATGTATCGTTTTATGAGTAATCCTTATTTTTTGACGATATAACATATGAAAGTGATGATGATGGTGAGAAAAGACACTAATTAACATATTCTGTTCTTATGCAGAGTATTTATACATGTGAGTGAAGAGCGCCCCAATTGTACTGTTGGGTCCTGCTAAAAGAATTCCTTAAAAATCGAGTTCTGTTCAATCGATTTTAGTAATTTCTTTTTGATTTGTTGGGCTAAAGATGGTCATTCACTTCTGAAAAAATCAAGATTCCAGCTGTTTTAGTTTTTGTGAAATCATAGAAATGATGTTAAATATTCAGCTTTCCTATGCTATCTGATGGAAGAAAATCAATTTTTTTTTATTAAATTGCGAGTATTTTAAAGTGTTGTTTGTAGCTTAACTCATAGAACTCGTCGAGAGCTTTCAGAATATGCCTTTAGTTTTAGCTCTAGAAAGAGTTTTATGAGTGCAAACCGATCAATAATAGATGTTAAGACACTTTTCGTTTTTGTCTAGACCGAGATTATAATCATTGGCATTCCATTTCAAGATAAATTTAATAGAATATGAAAGAGGGAGGAGGGGAAAATAATTTGGCAAATAAAAGATGTTTGTTTCATAAACTTCGTTAATACAAAAAAATTGAACAAAATATTAAGAAAACGATATTCACATTAAATGTAGATCGACTTTTTAAAATTTTGTCAGTACTATAACTTTACGAAAGATGGACTGTTTCCTACAAAAATTTGACTCTTTTTTCAGCTCGAAGAATGGAATAATGTCTCAAAAATCAAGCAAAAATCTTTCTGCATTCAGAAGAAAATTCAGTTTTACTAAGTATGTGCAGATCGAGATTAAAGTCATTTGCATTTCATTTAGAGAAATTTCATTTGAACAATGTTTGATTGATTATCAAAGAGTACTTGAAAGAAAATAATTTGAAAAGTCAAAGAGGTTTGTTTCAGAAACTTTGTTAATACAAAAATTTCGCACAAGATTTTAAAAAATGATGGTCACAGTGCATGTAAAACAGCTTTTTAGGTGATAATATTGTGAATATCCACTATATCACAGGGAAGTGTAGGAAAAATAATCTTTTCATACACATTCTTTTGAAGTCTCTTTTAAAAAAACATTTAGTTTTTTCCTATCATTAATTTTATTTTTATGGATTTTTTTTTCGCCAACGGTACAAATGACGCGCTCTTCACTCATGTATCTATTACATGAATAAATATATCTTTGTTCTTTATTTTTAGAACTAAAGATAAATTAACATCTCTAAACATAACAGAAGAGTCGTATGTGTACAAGAATAAATCATTTAATGACATGTTCAAAATATCGGACCAATATATTACTTCTTTTTTTCAACAGAAAATATTAAACATTCTCATTATCTATTACAAAAACTGTTCTTGTAACATAACCGATTACTTTATTTCTGTCATCGTGTTTATACAAAAAAACACATCAAGTTTTCTCATTTTCGACTTTGATTATACAAAATAAATAGTATTTTTTTTAAATCAGATTTCTGTTAAGTTCTTTAATATTTTATATCAAATAGTTTACAAACACTTATAATTTTTTTCTATAACTCAACATTTTATCTATTGATGTTGATAGTGAAAAGTCTATCTATTATTAGAAGATTTTTTTTTTCGAGAGATAATATATTATGATGAAATTCACATGTGTTTATTGATGAAAACAATTGATTTTATTTTTATTGATTTGATCGTGTGTGAATAATATACTACATTACAAAATTGTAACAATTAATTATTTTAATCTGTAAATAAATTCTTTTATTTTTTGAAATATTTATTTATATGCATCAATGATCCTTGTGTCCTAATAAGAAAGCCATATTGAAATTTGATATTATTTCAATGTCCTATTTTCTATTTGAAATATTTATTTTGTAGAATTTTTAAAATTGTGATTTTTCATATGTTGATAGATGCTTCACGTGGCATAACAAAATCAAGGTAAATGTCCTTCAACGATAAACAACGTTTTCTTTTCTGTATTATTGGTCATACTATTGAAATAATACAAAACAAAAAAAAAGAATATAATCCTTATTCTATCTATACGACCTATTATTACGATCAAAAGTTTGACTAATAATACAGAAAGAAAAAGAAACTTGTTTACCATAAAATGTTATTTATAATATTCGTTACTCGTGAATGAGCACATATTTATATGCGAAAAGTCACAAATACTAAATCAACATCAATTAGATTATCGATGTCAAATTAAAATTAAAATAAAAAAACTTCAATAAAGAAAAGATATTTAAATGTTGTCAAAAAATAAAAATATATGGATAATTTATGCATTCAATGTGATGAATTACAATCGGAAAATTTAAAATAAAGTCAACATAAACTTAAAAATAAACTCGATTATAATTAAGATGAGAATCATTTAAACATGCAGAGCAATAATTACATATGATTGAACAACGAAAGAAATTCAAAGTATTTATATGAAAGTTCTTCAAAATTTACAAACACTTTTTAATATAATAAATGAATTTTTCTTTAAGGAGTGCTTCAAAATATATTCCAATCGGTCGATCGTTATTCCTTTATTTATTTACATTTCTATTACAGAACATTTGATAATGTATCCATCTTTTCGTTCAAAAGTGAACTTTTTCTTTTATTTCACATCTTCAATGATGATTAAATACTCTTTGAAAGTATTATTCACTTATCAATCTATTGATTGCAAATCGTAATAAGAAATGTTCATTATGTATAGATCAATTTTAGTATGAGACTATTTAATTGCTCATGAAAAGTAAGTTTTCTAATTAAAAATGCAATTATGCTTCTTTTTTTAGCAGTTTTCAATAATTTTAATTGTTTATTTTTATTAATCTGCAATAAAGACATACATGTCAATAGTTAAAATTACTGAAGATCATAAGATTGTATTTTTAATTTGGGAAATTTTCTTTTCATGGGCACTTAAATAGTCTCACATTAAAATGTGTCTATACATAATGAAGATGTGAAATAAAAGAAAAGGTCCATTTTTGAACAAAAAGATGGATACATTATCAAAAATATTCTGTAATAAAAATGTAGATAAAAAAGAATAACGATCGACCGATTGAAATATATTTTGAAGCATTCTCATATCATAATTTCATTGACTCTCTTTGTTTTTCTTTTTCATATATACTTATATATGAGAATTTCATTCCCTTTATTATTACGTTGATGAATAAATTGCTATTATTTTATTGTCTTTTTAAAAAATAATGTTTGTGACCATGATTGCAAAGAAAAAGCTAGAGGACTGTTATTTTCACAAATCGAAACAGACGATGCAAAAGCATCTTTGCCTCTAATATTGTGTAAGACGAAACCATATTAAAATCAATAATTTCTGCAATACATTGACAAATATCCATGAAAACTTCCGTTTGGGTATGTAAATTGGATAGAGGAACCTTAGATCTATAGTTTAAGAATCATCGTCTTCACGCATCAGAATATTAAGCAAATCAAATTCTTTACATATTTTCTCTTCATTTTTCAGCAAATTTTGGTACTTTTTTGTCAAAAATTTATATGAATGACAGATAATTTTTCGATATTTTGTAAAAAAGTTTGATTTTAAAATGATTTTGTCTTATACAATATTAAAGAAAAAGATGTCTTATTATAATCTCTTTTGATTGGTGAGAAGTACATCTCTCTAGTTCTTTTATTTCTCGATTTATTCTAAAAGTTGCTAAGATCATTATTTTTTTAAACAGACATTAATTTTCTTTCCTGTACGTCATAGTATCCATCAATGCAATTATCACCTGTTATTTTTTCGTTTTGCTTGATTAAATATATTTATTGCTATATTAAAAATAAATGTAAAAAAAAAATAAAGAATAATGTTAGATAAATTTGTAATCATAAAACTAATGTTATATAACTAAAGGTGCAATCTACTGTAATTTTCTAAAAGGAAAAATATTATATATGAAAAAAAAAACAACAATTTTTTTTGTTAGTTCTTATTGATGAATGTTAGTTCGAAATGATTGTCCTGTGAAAATTTATCAAGTTATTCTTTATTAAAGATTAGTCGCCATGTGAATGACGGCCTGACCCATCTATTGGATAACAAAATGGTCTGCGAAATGGAGTTCTTATAATATCAGTTGAATTAAAGCATAAGACATTTAGAATATAACGTTCAAGTTGAACTAAATATTTTCTTTCTAAAAATGGTTTTCGACTATATAAGTTTAATGCCCGCTGTTGACATGGTTGATTTAAATTATAATTTGGTGTTAGACATCTATAAGTTAATGCATAATGATCATAATCAGTTTTTAATACATATAAAGGTTGATTCAGAATTGTTGTACTAGTAACATCTAGTTTTTCAAAAATCATTTTTGCACCATTATTTGCATAAATTGACCATGTAGTAGGTGACAAACAATTTGGTTGATTAGGTGCTCTTGCTTTAGAGAAAGCGAGAAGATGCTTAGTAACATCATTTTCTAATTGAAATAATTGAATAAAATCTGTATATGATTCAGCTGGATCCACACCGGCCTCATAAAAATTTATTTCGTACCAAAAACCAAGAAATTTGTATAAATTGAAATTTTGTTCAACAGATAAACTTGAAAATGAAGGTGGACTACATCCTAAAGATGTATGGATTAATAAAAGTAATCCTATGGTTATAAACCAAAACATATTGTTGCGATTGTTTGTTTTTGTATTGAAGCTAAAATAAAATAAGGATACAGAATAATACCAATGTATGTTGCTTATATACAACAAGAGTGAATAATCAGTATTATTTAATCAAATGTATTGTTTTCGAAAAACACGTCAATAAAAGAACATAAATGTGATTAATGTCGCTTGTTATTTGTTATCGAACATTAAAAACAAAAAAAGACGATTATCGATTGAAGAGAAAAAAATATATAAACACATAAAAAGTGTAGACTTTTCTTTTGTCATTGAATACTTTATTTTATAATAAATCATCCATATTTTCGTTTCGACTTAATTACATATAGATAAGTGTGTATACAATATCGATTATTACCAATCATTATTTCATCCTTGACAAACATTTGTTATAATGAATCGACCTGCTCTTAAAATGTAACTTTTTTTTGTAACCCCAGTGTAATTCAAACTACACGTTCGTATTATGATGAGTGTATTATACAATTGAACTTGCAATTATGAACTAGAGTCCTGCAACTATTCCCAAATAATTTTCTGAAACGATTCAAAGAAGTATAAGTCGTTTCGTTATTATGTTATTCGACTATATATTTTTGTATAGAAATGTTTTCTCTTCAATGCCATAGATTTAGGAACACAAAAAAAAACTTCTTCGTATGAAGATTTTTTCTATTAAAATACAACGGTTCCAAATTCGAAATCGAAAAATATGGAACCGTTTTATTTGAATAGAAAAAATCTTCACACCACGAGCTTGTTGGATGATAAATGAACGATATTTGCGAAATCGATTATAATAATCATTTGATCTTATGAATTGTAACATAGGTTGGGGTTGAGCAAATGGTAAAGTAGGGTGTTTTCCATATAATAATTGATATGGAGCATATTTAGCTGTTCGATGTTGACCAATATTGTAAGCATAAATTGTTGGTGACAAATATTGATCCCAATCAGTACGATTCAGGGTGAGTGTGGGTGTGGGTGTGGGGTGGGTGGGTGTGGGTGTGGGTGTGGGGTGGGTGGGTGTGAGTGTGGAGTGGGTGGGTGTGGGTGTAAATTTACAAAGTAAAGGACACGCACACGCACACGCACACGCACACCCACCCACCCACACCCCACACCCACACCCACACCTACCCACACCCACCCCACTCCCACACACTCACATTTGAAAAAGAATTATTCTCTAAAAGATATTAAATCAAATCGAACATCTATTGTTTGTTATATAATATATCAATTAAAACTGATTAAGAACCGATCATGAGTAGATACTGAGATTTCTTTTTGAATTACATAGACAAGAATTAAGGAAGCAAATATTTTAAGTACACTATTGCTTTTGTTTAATAAAAAAAAAGTTGAAATTACTTATAGAAAAGTTCATTTTTTTACACTCAAGTTCTATTATGCTAAAGATTTTCGAATATTTACCTAATTAATTTTTATTTGTATACATATGTCAAAACATAAATGTCAGCGTAATGTCTCCAATGTAAGGGATATAATAATATCACATGACGGGTGTAGGTGAGTGTGAGTGTGGGTGTTTAGCTTTGTCTTCTGCATCCACATCCACACCCTTATCAATTCATTGACGAATTCACGTCCATTATCAAATTGAAGAATGTCCGAAGCTCCAAACATGAAAAATATTTCACTTATACAATTATAGACTTCACGTGCTTCTTGATATTGTAATGGCTTGACCCAACAGAATTTTGTAAAATGATCTTTCACTTGTAAGATGCAACGATAAATTTTTCCATCAGATATAGCATCTGATCGGGTTGTCATATCTATAAGATCCATTTGAACGCATGTCATGAATTCTAACTTAAAAATAGCAACCGCATATAAGAAACAATCTTTTATACCAATAAAGTGATTTATTATATACACAAATATAAAACTAACAATCATTTTTTAAATAATTTAGTAACAAGATACCGGTGTGTTCATTACTATTATATTAAAACTCCTGAATCCTGGTAATACAGCCTACCTAATGCAATTATTGGTTTTTTGATAACACAGGTTTTACTGTAGGCTTTCTTTTTTTGACACGAAGAACAATTTTTAATAAATATTTGCAAAAGCCAGGACTATACGAACTATAGTTCATTGATAAATAATCTAAGCATTTATCACATCCTGCACGAGCTGTATCAATATGAGTACGTTTATAAACATTATAAATAGATTCGTATAATAATACTGGTTTTTTAGTTTTAATATCGCACAGTAAAAATATTGACCCAGTATTTTATATGATAAATGATGTCCAACATTAAGACATAAAACATGCATTACAATCAGATAAGCATTTATTCGTAAGACATTCAATGATTTTATCATACATGACCTGTGTTATAACTGCTTTTTCTCGAAATTTCATAATTTTAAATTGAATATACTCATATGCTTCTTTGTAAAACTCTTTTCGAGATAAATCTTCAAATGATGATACACGATTCATTTCGATGACTTGAATATAAATTTAAAAATCAAACCGATGTATTTACAAATACAGTTGATTGAAACATCTACTTACAAATTACTCTTAGTTTCGTATACGATAATCGTAATCAATCAAAGCTTTTCATCGTTTTGCAGCAACTAGAAATAACTTATATTCAACATTGTGATGTCATAAACGTTTTTAATGTTCATTCTTTGTTTCTTCAAATATTTCGCCACCAAAAAAACTAAGAGAAGGAAGAGAAAAAAATCAATGATATAATTCTATATATGGTTTGAGAATAGTTTATTTATTTATTTTATTAAGATAGTAACAATTAAAGCTAAATATCAATTGTTATTTTCTTAGCAATAACTTTATAGATGGTCAGTTACATTTCATTCGTAATATAGAAAAACAAGAGATAACCATCAAACAGCTGATACCATATGACGTTAACTAATAGACACACTATGTTAAGCACTCTATTCCCAAATAATTTCTGATATGAAGAAGATTTTCTTATCTTCAGTCGGTCTAAAAATATACTATTGCGAAAAAAGAAAAATTAAATAAATAAATAATTTCAAGTCTGTCAAAAATTTCTTTTATGTGTAAAATCTTGTATCTGTTATATCTGCGCAAAGATTATTGATATGCTCATTAATGAAACAATCAAGTGATCTGTCGAAATTTCTGAATACAAATGATAATTAGAAATCATTTCTAAATAAAAAAAAAAAAGTGCAACTAAAATTATGTGCCTAATATAAAATCAATTTTGCCTGTGACATATATATGTTGAGTTGTTCCTGACAAAATGATCTGGATGTCCATTCTTTATACGTCTAAAAAAATTTTTATTGTTACCTCAGATCATTTTCGGCGATGATATGGTACGTTGTTCTAGATTATCAAAATTGAAAAGGTATTTCTACAAAAGTGGTAGAAACCCTACGAATTTATCCATTAGATAATCAACATTTTCAGTGAGACATATAGTTAAAATTTATCTCACTAATATTGCTAACAGCAAACGAAGAACTGTGCGATAGATGAATTCCTATAAAGACATTCGTTAACATTATTCTACGCACTACGATATTAATTGTGAATACTTGCCCGCACGATTGATGCTGAAATGGGAACAAGCACCAATCAAGCAAGGAACCTAGAAATGTGCATAGACATACTTTAAAACAGAATAAAAAAAAGACAGAACACTTTGCAAGTTTAATGAAACAAGATAGATAGAATGGAGTGCGTGATTCTTTTATTCATTTCTCTTCTAATTGTGTAACTAATCGTTTGTTTCGCATGATTGATTTTTTTTCTTTTTTCTGTATTGATGTGTTACATACAAGCATGCGCAGGGTATGTGAGCAATAAGATATGTAAGGCGAAAAAAGGATTAAAAGAGTCATTTTTTTGCATGAACACTTTTTATCGAGGAAAATCATATTAATTATTAGTTATTTGAATTAATCTCTTTTTGCTTCTTTTAGAATATTATTTTGCTTTTTCGTGGCGGTTCGGCAGACGATATTGTCCTCTTCAAATTTTATTGGTGAAAAATGAACTGCACTACACTAATACACATATACCTTAGCTTTTTTTCTTTTTCTCTTCTATTCTTGTTACATTATGAAAATGGATCGAAGCAAGATAAGAAGAGAAAATTTCTCCTACGAGGTACCATCTTCTTATCAACTCACCGTCAAATCATAACAGCTATAGATAAGAAACAGAAAAAAGAGAAAAAACTAAAGTGTATGCGTAGCCTGGAACATATTATTTTTAGTAATAAAATTTAAAGAGGATAGTATTATTTCCCGAAACATCACGAAAAAGAACATTATACAAAAACCAAGAAGAGATTTATTTAAGTAACCAACTGTTTTATTTTTATTGATTATAATTGAACATGATTCGTACTGGCTTGGTGACTGGTGCTGCTCAAGGAATAGGGCGTGCAATTGCTCTTCGTCTTGCTAAAGATGGTCTCAATGTTGCTGTTAATGATATAGAAGCTAATTCCTCTGAACTTCAAAAAGTTCAACAAGAAATCGAACAAATTGGTCGAAAATCAATCTCTATTATTGCTGATGTTTCTATAAGTGAATCGGTTGAAAAAATGATGCAAGAAGTTGCGCAAAACTTAGGAAGTTTAGATGTATGTATTTTTCACTCTTTTTCATTGCTTTGATTTTTTTTCTGTTATGATTCATTCTACAGGTAGTAGTTGCAAATGCAGGAATTTGTAATGCGAAATTGCTCTTAGATACAACTGTAGAAGATTGGGATAGACTTTTTGCAGTAAACATGCGTGGTGTATTTCTTTGTTACAAAGAAGCAGCTAAAATCATGATTAAACAAGGTACAGGAGGAAAAATCATTGGTGCTTGCAGTAATGCTGGATATAGACCAACTCCAACGATCGGTGCTTATTCTGCTACAAAGTGGGGTGTACGAGGTTTAACACAAGCTGCTGCTATAGAATGGGCTCCATATAATATTACAGTCAATGCTTATTGTCCAGGTATACTTTTATAGCTTTTAAATATTAAATCTAAGAAATTTTATCAGGTATCATTATGACATCGATTGGTGACATGTTTTGTGAAGGATTGGCAGAATTTCATGGGAAGACAAAAGATGACGTTACTGAAGATTTTGTCAAAGCTATTCCACTTGGTCGCATAGGAGATCCAGATGATGTTGCAAGCTTAGTTTCATTTCTTGCAAGCAAAAATTCTGACTACATTACTGGACAGAGTATTTTAGTCAATGGTGGGAGATTTTTTTCTTAACTTTTAATTACTATTTATTTCAAAATAAAAGTTTTCTTTAGTTATAAATACAAAATATTTCTATCCTGTCAGTTAAAAAGTATCATCTGAAAGAGGGTGTGGGGGTGGCGATGGGCATCATTCTCTTCCTAACACCCACGCCCTATTTGTGAGCGCGCTCAAGCCGATGGCACCAGCCACATCAACTATTTTCGGTTAGTTTACGAGTTCGGATATTTATTAAAGATGGTGCCATAAAATTAATCATTAGTTAGAGGATTAGTCAATAGAGAAAATTCTAGCATCATCTGATATAATATGTTATAACATAATTAAATCGACTTTTCTCAAGACATGATATGAATTTTATAGAAAAATCAATCAAAAAGTGATGAAAAATGAGTAAACTGCTCGAACTACCGGGTTTACTCAGGAGCAGCGGCCAACTGGCGGTTTTGATGAAAAATGAGTGACGTGGGTAGTATTAATTGATCATTTCCAAATTTGGATGTGGGTGTGGGCTGTGGGTGAGTGGGTGTGATTGTGGGTGCTGGTGTAGGTGCTGGTGTGGGTGTGGATGGAAAGAAGGTACACCGCACACCCACTTCCACAGCCTGATTTCATGATGAGAAATAAAACATATTTTGTTATTTCAAATCTTCATTTCTGTCAAAAATGTCATATTGACATGAAAGCGAATGAACAACAGAGGAATTTTATCAATCTTATTCAGTGAGAAGATATTAATCATTGGTTCTTCCATGGTCAAACAAATAAACAAACTCTTTTATGTAGTATAATATCCAATTGATGTCTGTTTACATTACAATTCCAAATCTGTTATTAAAAAAGACTGTTTTACTTTTTTGCTGATTTGATTCTGTTTCGTCGTCGCCTTATGTTCCTCAGTCACGCACAACTATTGTAGTTTCTTCTTTTCCATTCTTTTTCTGCTTTCCTTTCTTTGTATTATGTCTTTTTTCTTTGAGATCTTATTAAGAATTATTATTCTCATTGCAGCCTACTAATTTACTGTTTATATTTCAGTTATCCACATTCAATTCAACTAATATCGATCCATCAAATAGTTTATCTATATGAAAAATATTTTAAGGTAATTTATCAGTGTTATTGAGTGTGACAAATAAAAACTCTTTGTCAATGACATGAAAAATAATATCGGTAGTAATTTTGCAGAATGAGATCAGTTTTCCTCATAAAATAAAAATCCCTTGGATGATGATAACGAGCTTCGCAACGAATACTACACACTTCCGTTTCTATAGTTTGTTATAAGAAGTGTGAATGTGGGTCAATGTTTCTAACAGCAAGGGTCCAACGTGGTGGCAAAATATTCAAGAAGCTTGCCGTAGTACTCTGTATACAAAATATATGTTCGGCATATACGTTCCACCTTGAGAATTTTCGTATCTCCGCATTTTTGAGGATCTTGAAGAAATATACTCAATAAATATTCGAAGCTAGCAGACATTCGTAAAATTTTGCACGGATGATAGGATGTGGGTGTAGGTGTGGTTGTGGGGTGTGGGTGTGAGTGTGGGGGCGGGTGTGGGTGTGTGGGCGTTGGTGTGGGTGTGGGTGTGAGTTAAGAGAATGCATACCGATACCCACACCCACCCACCCACCCACCCACACCCACACCCACACATCCACACCCACACCCACACCCACACACCCACATCCGCACCCACACCCACACCCACGTTCGTTGAATTGCTTCGTATTTAGCTCCATCACAATTAAGCACTATTTTTCCATCAGAACGTTGCTTATTTTTAAATAAGACAAACTCAATATTGACATTTTGATATACTATGGCCTTTCGTCTGATACATCGTCGTTTTTAAAGCGACATAAGGGAGTATTCACATGACCATTTCACTTGGACTTTGTCTTAATACAGAATTATCTGACTTGTACCCAAATAATCGATCAAGGCAACTATCAATAAAGAAAAAAAAACTGATTGTTGATGACTTTCAGTAGTTTCTATCATTACGCAATACCATTAATATTTGTCATATTAATACAAAAGATTTTTATATGATAGTTTAGATAGATTGTTGTAATCTTTAACTAAGTAAAATTCGTTTTTTTCTTACTAAAAACACGTTTGTTTCAAAAACTGAAGATCATGAATTTAAAAGTGCATTCAATTGAACTAAAAGTACATATTTCGTTTGTAATAAAATCTCATCAAATTTTTACAATACAAACAAAACTTTTCTATAACTCATACGGAATTATCGGCTAAAAAAAGACAAATACAGTGATTTTGGATTAACGTCATAATATGATAATTCGTTCTTTTGACTGATCTGATCAACGATATCAATACAGTAAAGCCCTCGACAGATTAGAAGACCCCCCTATATCAGAAGATCCCCCTTGGATAAATGAAGCAAAAGGCATATTAGAAGACCCCCCTGACAAAATCGATTTTTTTTACAAATAATTTCTGGAGTTTATTAACTTTTTTAGTATTTAAGTCCATAATTGTATCTTAGATCAGTATGAACAATATTTTGCTTCATTCATAAAAATGATGCATCAGTTCGAAGTGAAAAAAGTCTTGCAAAACGATGAATAGGAAACAACTATTTAGTAAAGAATGTATTTCTTTATAGAACACATATCATGGAATCTTTTTAGGGGTCTTTTGCAGCATATTCCGAAGGAATTTTTACGGTTCTCTATACAAAAAAACTTCTCATGTCCGTGGGTTATGATGGACTCAGTGAAGAATCGTGGATGTAACGCATGAAGAGATCTTTATAAAATAATACCATATTAGGTGAAACTTCATTGCCGAATAATTAAAAAGCCTCATTATCTGGGATTTCTAGAAATTCTGAAACATATTCATCACAAAGGATTCTTTCATAATTGAAAAACACGTGAACTCATGAATATACGCTCAAGACAGAAACGAATAAGAAAATCTTAATTCGGCAACATCTTTGACCGGATTCAGTTCGCCTCAGACAAATTCAATCGAATAAGATCATTCGACAATTCGATTTGGTTTTCGTCTCTAATACGCATGGGTTTTTTGTAACTATTTCTCATGAGACTCAGAATGCATTTCTATTCTCAATAAAACCTGAAGTCAATTTTTAAAAAAAGACCAAGAAGAAAACACAAAATGTGTATCCAACTACTCTTTCTTTATTAATTGCTTATTCTTAATACAAATGTATTCATTGACATTGGCTTGTGACTTATAAATATGCTATTAACAGATTTTGATGTGAACAGAGTCCATTAATACTAGTCAAAAATAAACAAGAACAATAAATTTAATTGAGTTTGATAAAACAAGTTAATTCTTCTTCTGAGCTATTTAGTTATTGAGAAGTTAACATTTGTTCAATGGCAGATCTTATTTTTAGAAAAACAACTATTAGTGAACATTTTACCAAGGTGTTCGGGTACGTTTCCTTTAATATTCTAAGAATATTTATTATCAATGATAGACTCTTTTTTTCACAGAATAAAATTTGTTACTATCTCATCATACACATGTCAAATAAGTAAAATACTGTTTTTATAACGATTACGTAGAACAAAATTGAATTGAAACAAACATTTGTTGGAAAGGCTGGCGAAAAATATAACTTTTTAGGGGACATAATAGAAGACTAAAGCTAAGTCTAGTCTATCAACAGATCTCAACATTATATACTACCTTTATTATGATTTCATAAATAATTTATTTCGAAAAGGATGCTTCTTAAGAAAAAACAAAATCATCGATCAATAATTTAAGTAATATAAGGGGGTTGAATAACAATGCCCTTTTTGTTGACAAAAACTCGTACACGATCAGTTCGATAGTCCATAGTGACCAATGAACCTTCAAGAACAGTAAATACATTTGTAAAACCTAAACGATAAATAAAACAAAACAAAAAAACATTTTCTCATATAAATGAAAAATATATTTACCGGTTTTTTCTTTAATATATTGTACAGCATATGTACCTTCACGTCCAACTAATTCTGGCCATGATGATTGCTTCATATTATTCAATGATGGTTTCAGGGATCTATCTATTGATAATAATTTAGATATGTTGTTTGTATTACGCGAAACAAAAATACTAACCTTCTCCAATAAACATAACTGGAATATCAATTGTAATGAGACTTTCAGTACCAATTTTAACAGGTATATGTTGTTCATTAACATATACAAGTACATCTCCTTTTTTGATAAGTGCTGACAATGAATAGGACAATGCTGATGAAATATTATTTGGGACTTGAATTTGATAATAGAATGGAAAAGCAACTATATTTGAGATTTCTGTTTGTTTGATTACGATCGATGAAGCATTAGCTATTGATGTATCTTCTAGTCGAACAATAAGTTGAGAACCAGAAGGAACCATATCGACTATATTGGCATCACCATTGACTAAAACTCGACCACGAATGATAGTACCAACTAATGAAGTAATAAATAAAAACGATTAGAAAAATCAAACATCAAAATTTGACTTACAGGAAACGTGTACAAGACAGAAGAGGGCGATGAAACGAAACATATTGGTATCTAAATAATATTCTATTTCTTTCATTACTATAAATCGGAGTTTTATGATAACAAAAAATCCATTCTTTATCCAATTTCGTACTAGTTCTAATAAATTAGTTCAGAGAAATTTTTAACATTTACAAAATCCAATTTATTATTCTCTCTTTCTTTTTCAAATAACTATCGTAATGTAATATTCAATCTATATATACCCCATTTGCGAACTGAAAATGAATGAATAACTTCCATAATAAGATGGGAAGATAGCATCTGCTTTTTGTTTTTTTCAGCTTTGCCATGATAAGCGAAAAACCCTTTCGATTATCATGGCATGGTAACGTTAAGTGTTAATAGTAAGGAACAAATGCAAATAATAAAGAGAAAAAACGAATATGCAAGAGAATATCAAAACAAGAGAGTACGCAAATATTAGTTAGACGAAAAGTAGAGAAATGAGAACAATGGGAATACTGAGGAAAAAGAAAAATATCAGTAATCAACTTGACAAATAAAATCAATCGACTGTTTATAATCGTTCAGTTCGAAACTCTCAAACTGGATTTTACATTATTTATTTCGTAAAAAATAAATATTGTCTATACAATCAATAGCATAATGTTGAAATAGGCGATGCTATAACGTTCGTTAATGTATCCAAGCCGATCCTGCAAAGCCAACGACGGATGTGACAGAGTCGTCGAAAGTTGAATATATATACTTTTTTCTCGTTCTGTTCGAATTTCGAGCCCCTCGGTGGCTACCGAATGTCGAGACCACGGAAGCATTTTCCCATCGCAACTTTACTTTTGACTCTTCGGACATACTTCGGTCGAACGAAAACTATCGAAATATCGACTACTCGAAGAGAGGAGGTCTATCGAAAAGAGACTTTCGATTACTCGATATGATTTCGATCAGTCGAAGCTCAACGGACTAATGAGTGGTCGGAAACATTGCTCCATTATGCAGTCATTTTCGACTTCTCGGACACTTTTTCGACCGCTCGATGCCTATCGAAATTGCGGGTGTGAGTGTGAATGTGGGTGGATGTAGGGTGTGGATGGGTGGGGTGTGGGTGTGCCTGTCAGTCTTCTCTCTAAATCGGCTGCCATACCTACACCCAAACACCACACCCACACCGACACACCCACAGCCCTACACCCACACCCACACCTTCTTATTTTCACTCTCTTGCTATCATGTTCTGTGGTTCGATAAGACAGCTTTACAGATTGTTAGGTCTAACTATCACTCTTCTCCTCTCTTTATTGAAATCAAGAGACAACTATTATATGGTTTTAACAAAAAGGAAAAATTCATAGGATAGAAAGTCCTTTGTATGAAGAAGAAATATAAGGAAAAGTCCAACAATGAGAACGAACAAAATACTCCAGACACGACAAGAAGAGCATAACATGTAAATACAGGAAAGAGGGTAATGATAATCGACCGAAGCAGCATGAGGCGCTTATTGGTCGTTGCGAAATACTAAGTAAACCAATAACTGTAGTCCATAGTTTACCTCATAAATAGTCAACATATAACAGTCTTGTGATAATTCGACTTTTCCTTCAGTGACAAGTCGACTTATCCTCTGGATGATGTTTTGTCGATCACATATATCGTGGCACGATGTTTCTGCGCACGACATTTCCGCGCCGACACTTCCGCGCCGACATTTCCGCGCATGACACTTCCGCGCAGCAACACTACCGCCCGCGGCACTTCCGCGCAAATCAATTTTTTCTCTTCTGTTTATGTTGAGCTAATGCTAGAGGAATCACCTGGATTGCTATAGGAATGATCTGTGATGTTACGGAAATCACCTATGATGCTACAGGGATCATATATGATACTGGAAGGATCGCCTGGGATGCTAGAGGGATCGCCTGGGATGCTAGTGGGATCACCTGTGATGCTAGAGTGATCGCCTGAGATGCAAGGGGATCATCTGAAATGCTAGAGGATTGCCTGAGATGCTATATGCATCTCCTATGATACTAAAAGCATCCATTGGTGACGCTTGTAGAATCCAAGATGACCCCTCCAGCAACTCAGGCGATCCGTGTAGCGTCCCAGGCGATGCGTCTAGTATCTTGGGGGAGGATTCTAGTATCCAGAGCAATGCCTCTAGTATCTCGGGCGATGTATGCAGCATTCCAGATGATCCTTCCAGCATCCTAGGTGGTTCCTGTAGTGTTCTCGATGAGCTTACCAGCAGTTCAAGTGATCCCGCTGGCATCCCAGGCGATGCCTCTAGCATCTCAGATGATCCCTCCAGTATCATAGGTGATCTCTCTAGCATCCCAGGTGATTCCTCCAGCATTAACCCAACATAAACAGACGAGAAAAACTTCATTTGCGCGGAAGTGTCGCGCGCGGAAAAATCGGCGCGGAAACGTCGGCGCGGATATGTCGTGCGCGGAAACGTCGGTGAACCCACATATATGAATCAAAATTTTTGTCTTTTGATAACTGGACTTGTTCTCTGGATGATGTTTTGTCGATCAAACATATAGATTCAAAATTTTTGTCTGTTGATAGTTCGACTAAGTAACATGCTTAAAACTAATCAAATGTGCAGTATGTTCCTAGGTGAAATAAATCTTAATTGCGCTAATTTTAGCCACAAAATTAATCAACTTAGACGCACAGAAAGCAGAAAATTTATATGATATTTTCAAAATGTTTTAGGTGCGAGCATGTTTGGGCGTCTATTCGTTATATTCATTCAATAACAAGCCTGTATGTGATTTTGTTATGATCGATATAACACAACAACATTCAGTTGATGTTAAACAATTGGCACTTAAATACGGTGCAGCAGCTCTCATTCTCAGTATTTTCGTACTTGTTATTGGACCAACGCTTGCAGCCGGGGCGATGTTATTCGGCTGGCGACGTCTATCTAATACAGCAAAGAAACTTACTAGCAAAGACGAAGCCGATGCATTTTGGCTTAAAACACTCGAGCACTATGGCCTAATCCGTTTGTTAACCAATGATCAACTTGAACTAGTCAATTGACTAATAAGTGAAAGGTTTTCATTCTCCTTGTGCTTTATTTCTTACACTTGATCCATCTTTTATTATAATGAAATCGACTTCATCTTATATTTCGCTTCCATTCTTGTAGACGTCACTAGCTTTCTTTCATTGATATGTATCAAGAAAAAAAACAATATCAGGAAAGATGTTACAAAGACAGATGAAAACGTGTATGTCAAAAAGCATGAGGGTCTATACAACGAAAATGCCAAACATACGCCTAGTACATATAAAAAAACGAACATTAACAGTAGTAAATGTAGAATCACATTAGGTTTAAGTGCTCATTAAGATTATGTTTAAAGTTTTTGATATTAGAAGCAGAAGCAACAGAAGAGGGTAAGTTGTTTCAGTCAGAGACTGTTGAAAAGAAATATAAATATTTAACATTGGTTTGAGGGTGTGGGTGTGTGTGTGTAGAGTGTGCATGGAGTGTGGGTGTGGGGTGTGGGTGTGAGTGGATGTGGGGTGTTGGTGGGGTGTGAGTGTGAGTGTGGGTGTATGGGTGTGGGTGGGAATGAGTGTGCTTGTGGTTGTGAAATATGACTGTTAATGTTGATCTCATGGAGACCCACACCCCCATTCCCATCCACACCCAAAATTTGACTCCGGCTATCTTTCATGTTCATAGATCTTGATAAAACGTCGTTGGAACCTTGAAAATGCATCAGTTTATACTGTAAATATCAGAGAACAAAACCTAAAATGCAAAAAAGTTCCTATGCTAAAGCTAAATTTTTAGCAAAAAATTTAGTTTACTCCGACAACGACTCCGAAATCGACTTCGTGTAGGACTCTAGTCAGTACGTATGATACATCTTTGCGATGAACAGACCAATTCATCTGATCAAAAAGGTTCGTATGCGCTTACATATGTGTTGGAGTAAACTCTATTTTATCATATGAAACTTACATTGAATTTGTTTTCTTCTACAATAGAAAATCTTTTTCAGTGGTATGTTTTTTTAGATATGCTGTATCTTATGTTGATTGAAAACAGAATCAAAACAATTTCATTCAATTTGACTTATGAAAATTTTTTCTATGAAAAAAAAAGTAAAACAATTACTTCAATATATATTCTATCTTTCTCGT